GTACCTTGCTGAGGAATTGCACCCATCCTCGGGGACAGCCCCCGGCTGTGGGAGCGGGTGCCGGAGGGATTGAGGGCTTCACGGCCGTCCCGTTGCTCCGCTTGCAGATGTAGGGCAGAGCTGTCATGCACTTCTGGTCCCCCCAGTCCTCTGTGGGGAGGGACAGGCTGGGCATGACCCCAATCCTCACCGAGCCCCTCATGGTCCTGCCCTCACCTGGGCTGGCCCTGCCCTCACCTCTGCTGGCCGTCATGTACACACACTTCCTGTCCTTGCCGATGGGCCGGGGCTTGCCCGGTGCCCAGGAGATGAAGTTGAGGAGGGACCCATCAGACCACCTGGAAAAGCAGCGGTGGGAGCACAAAAAAAAGAGCTGAGTGGCAAATGGGACCGGCTGCGTGCCCTAACTGGGGAGCGTGTCCCACCACTGCCCTCCTGGGTGAGGATCTCCATCCCAGCACCTCAGGATGGCAGGTGCTGAGCCACAGTGCTCAGAGCTGGGGATGGTGGTGTGGAGATGAGCAGGGCCATGGTGGTGTGGGAATGTGCTGGGGATGGAGGTGTGGAGATGAGCAGGGCCATGGTGGTGTGGGAATGTGCTGGGGATGGAGGTGTGGAGATGAGCAGGGCCATGGTGGTGTGGGAATATGCTGGGGATGGTGGTGTGGGGATGAGCAGGGCCATGGTGGTGTGGGAATGTGCTGGGGATGGAGGTGTGGGGATGAGCAGGGCCATGGTGGTGTGGGAATGTGCTGGGGATGGAGGTGTGGGGACAAGCAGGGACACGGTGGTGTGGGAATATGCTGGGGATGGTGGTGTGGGGACAAGCAGGGACACGGTGGCTCTGTCTGTGACTTACTTGAACCTCCCATCGTTCTCATAGGTGTTCAGCCCAATCCACCAGTGCTGCTCCTGGCCCCTGGAGAACTGCACACCCAAAGAGGACATGTCAATGCCCTGCAGGGACTGGGCGTATTTGGGGACAACAGAGGCTGTCACAGGGATCAGCCCTCCCCTCCCTGCCCTCAGCTTGCACCAGGACACAAAACATCACCTCACTGAGCCCCAAACCCACTCACAGGCACTGCACAAGCCCACTGTGACCCCAGCAGAGCCCAGCGCCCCCAAACAACATCCCTCCAGCAAAGGGTGAAAGAAGAGAAGGAAGAGCAGCCCGGGGGAGTCCCATCCCCCTGGTACCTTCTTCAGGTTCTGGCCCAGGAAGCGCAGCTCGGCCTCGCCGTGCACCGACGCCAGCTCGGCCTGGAACCAGCTGCAGATGCGCTGGGCCTGCAGCCACGTCGAGTGGTGCTCGAAGAACTTGTACTCGGCCTCCTGGTACTTCACCCACTCTTTGCTGCCTGCAGGCAGGGACCGGGGTCACGCTGAGGTTGTGACACCCCTGCCATGGTCACCCTGTCCCTTGGTCCCCGCGTGTTTTGAGCCTCTCCTGCAGTGGGCAGGCCTGATTCTGCCCAGTCCCTGCCGCAGTCCCTACAGCCATGTGGTGCACGGAATGCCTGGGCTCCCCGCCCTCCCACTGCCCTGCCCAGGATCCATCCCTCTCTGGGTAACACTGCCTGGATGCTCTGAAGGGGTGGTGCTTGTGATGGGGCAGCAGAGGCCCAGAGAGGACAGTTTATGCCCGACGAACACACAGACAGCCATGGTCAACACACCTTGGGTCGTGATCTCCGGCTCCTTCACGTCAGCACCTGGAGAAAGGGCAAGGAGAGGCTGTCAGCGGGATGCAGGGCTGGGATGCTCCCACTGATGCTTCCCTGCAAACCACCTGTGGGCTCCAAGGCTGGGATGCCCTCCCGAATACCCCCAGGAGGAACAGCACCTCTCTCTCTGACCCGGAACTGGGAATCATCCTCCCACCTCCCAAGGATTCCCCTGCACCTGCTCCGCAGCCCCGCAGCCCATCCTCCTCCAGGTCAGTCACAGCTGGGGGGCTTGGGGGCCCCTTTGCTGGTACCTTTGGGCAGTTTGCAGATCCAGTCCAGCTGGGCTTCGCACTGCATCGGCATCCACTGCAGGGAGGCCAGGTCCAGCACCGCGCACGGCCGGATGTCGTCGTCGTCGTAGTTGCTGCGGTCAAAGTTGTGGTAGAAGAACTGGGGGTCGAGAGAGATGGGCGGTGTTGGGCATTTCCACCAGCACCGGATTTGCCCCACCCCTGCACCCCAAATGCCCCAAGACTCACCCCCAGCCCATCACTCCACCTCCAGCTCCGGTCCCCTGCAGGGTCCCGCCGGTTCAGGCCGATCCAGAACCAGTGCTGCTCGTGGAGCTCTGGCTCCGACTCCCTGGGGGAAGCCAGGGGGATGGGTGAGAACACAACCCCCCTCCAAACCAGAGGGGTTTACATTTATACACAAATATCTATTATTAAATTACATATATATATATATAAAATTATATATTTATACACAAATATATAGTATACAATTGTTATTTTATATATTTGTTTATACACGATTATATATTATTTATATATACACAGATATGTATTACATTTATACACAAATATATATTAATAATCTGGCCTTTTTCTGTTTGTTTTCAAAGCCTGCCATCCCCACACACTGGAAGGCAGGAGTTGGGATAACAGGCTCAAGGCTGGAGGCGTTTGAAACCCAAGCTCCATCCTCTAATTACACTGAACTTTCCATGCCACTTCTCCCACACCTGCCTTCCTGCACATTTCCCACATCAGCCACACCTACTGATGCACCTTCTGCACACCACTTTGTGCTCAGAGAGCCCCATTCATGCCTCAACCCCCCACCCATGTGTGCCAGAGCGCTGTGAGGGCTGCAGGCTCGTGCCAAGCACCCTCTGGCAGCGGGACATGTGCTGGTGCCACCAGCTCCTCACCCAAAAATCTTGTTGAGGGTGTTGGCGACAAAGTGCTCCTCCTCGTAGCTGCCCAGGCTGAGCAGCTGGGCCCCCAGCTCCCGGCAGAACTCCTGCGCCGCGATCCACGTCTTCTTCTCGTGCAGCTTTTCGAAGGTGAACACCTGGGGGAGGAGGAACCCGCGGCGTGGGGGGCTCAGAAGCAGGAGAGGAGCAGAGCATCATCCCCACACCCCGGGCCACGCTGCCACCACCCAGCCCCAGCCAGGCTTGTGTGCTCTGGGCTGCCTCTTGCACCAGAACATGCTCCTTCACCTCCTGCACCACAGGAGGCACAGGCACCCCCCAAACAGCCACGGGAACGCCTCTCACCTTGTAGCAGTGCCGGAGTTTGGGGTCGGAGCTCCAGCCCGGGGGACAGGTGGCGGTGAGGCTGGGCGTGGGGTAGGGCCCGGGCAGCTCGGGGTTCACCGGCGTGCCCAGGTTCTGCCGGCAGATGTACTTGGCCTTGAAGGTGCTGCAGTTCTTCACCTCCCACAGCCCCATGGAGCTGCCGGTGGCCAGGGCCACGCAGCCACCCTTGTTGTAACCTGGAGCGCTCACGGGAGTGGAGGGGACGCAGCCTTAGGGTGGGGCCGTGCCGGGGGGCAGAGCCAGCACCCGCCCTGCTGGAGGGGGTGTCCCCGGGCCACCCCTGTCCCCCTTACCGGGCTGGTCGCGGTTCCAGTGCGTGTACATCACCTCGTCCCCGCTCAGCCAGCGGAACGCGCCCGTCTCGTTGATGTCCTGCAGGGCTGTCCAGAAATACTCCCCGTCCCAGCCGTAGATGAGGCTGCTCACATAGGCCTGCTCGAACCTGGGGGGCAGCCAGAGGGGGTGACGCTGCGAGCTGACACGGCCTGTGATGCCCCAGCCTTTGTGGGGTCACTCCCCACCTCAGGGGGCTCAAACCCAGCGCCGGTGTGGCACTGACCTGTTGGTGATGGCACTGACCTGTTGGTGATGGCACTGACCTGTTGGTGATGGCACTGACCTGTTGGTGATGGTGACCAGCGTGGAGCCGTAGTCGGAGCACATCTTGCGGGCGTCGCTGTAGGGGACACGGTCCTCGCCCAGCCAGAAGCAGGATGGGCTGTGCCACTTCCAGCCCTGGGGATGGGTGACAAGGGATGTCCAGCACTGCCCGCCCAGACCTCCCCAAAGGATGGGAGCAATCCCAGGGCACGGGAGCAACGTCCCACGTCCCCTGCCACCACCTCTGCCTTCTCCCGGGAGGTCTCCTGGCCCCGGCTGCCCCAGTTTGACCCCGCTCAGCTTTGAGCTCCAACAAGCCCCTGGCCCCAGGGGACGGGGCTGTAGGGAAAACAAACACCCAGGCAGCTTCAAAGCCGGGGAAAAGGCTCTCCCTGCCAGGGTCCGGCCCGGCCGGGGCGCGGGGAGGGGAACACAATCCTCCTCTTCACGCCGCGGGGCCGAGTCCAGAGCGAGTCCCACCACAGTCGGCTTTAATCCCCCGCCTTGTTGATGTTGGAGCCTCTCCGGGGCTGGAGACACAATAGTGCCTGTTTTCTGCCAGAGCAGGGAGCGGGGCGGCCCCGGGGCTGGCAGTGGCCCCTCGGCAAAGCGGGGAGGGACACGGGGGCTCATCCACAGAGGGAACACACGCCCTTCCCAAGGGTGGAGCAGCTGGGGCAGCAAGTGGCCTCAGGCTCAGGAACACCCTGGAAGGGGAAGTATCACTGGGATTCTACTCCTGGGTCCCCTGGGCACTGGAAGGACGGTGGGGGACACGTGCCATACGTAGTGTCATCAGCATGGCGAGGAGGGAAGCAGGAGTAGCTTTAGGAGATGAAAACAACCCCAAATCCCATTTTTGCCCTACAAGTTCCTGCTCCTACAGTCTTTCCCCAAAGTTGGCAAAGCCAGGTACAGACCCACCAGCTGGGTCCCTCTGGAACAACATGGATGCCCCTGAGCAGCCAAGAAAGGGCCCATCCTGGGACAGTGTGGGTTCCTGATGCCCACAGAAGGATCTGGATGTCCCCAGAGGGGTCCCCAACCAGCCCCATGCCTCAGCACCCCAAAAACCCCATGGATGCTCTCCCATACACTGGCCACCACAGGCAGTCCCTGTGATCCAAAAGAGGGCCAGGATGGGATCCTCAACCCCAACTGCTGCCTCCAGCTCCTAATGCCAGTGTGTCCCCACATCCCTCTCCAGCTCTGCCATTCCCACTGCCCAGACCTCCAGCCCTCACTGGTTCCTTTAAGGTTGTTCCAAAATTAAAGAAGGTTTGGAGAAGGGGAAAAAAAGCAGCAAAGCCATCATGAAAAAACAGCATGGTGGCTGGAGAGGACTGGGGCCAAATCCCCCAAGCAAGATGATGATCCGGGTGGCAAAAGGCATCATTGAGGATGAGGAAGGGGAAGAAGGATGGGGAAAGGTCTTTCCCTGGTTGATTTACCACTCCCAATTTGTTTCTCAGTGGGTGCATCTCTGCTGGGCACCTGGGGCCAGGGCAAAACTGTGGCTGGGGAGGCAGGAGGAGTTAAATCTCCGTGGGGACATCTTATGTGTCAGGATGTCCTATGAGCTCAGGACTGTTCTGGGGACATGCAAATGGGTGGTGATGGAATTTTGCCCACCAAGTGCCTCATCCCCAGCACCTGCTGACACTGGGGCTCCTCTGGCTACAGCTGGCAGCCCCCATATCTGGCCTGGTGTGGCAACTTGCTGTGCTGCCCTGAGCTCTGGCAGAGCCGAGTGGCTGCTGGGGTTTGGCAACGGGATGAGGACCCAAGGAGGAGCCCAGCAGCACCTCTGGGAGCTGGCCCAGCGTGGCTGCTTGGTAGTCTGAGCGTGAGAGCCTGCTCTGAAACATTGGGAGAGGTTCAAGAGTGGCAGCACTGCCAGGCTCAGCAACTGGAGACTTCGCAGAGCCACAAAAGCCACTTCCCAGCAAAGCGTGGGAACGGGGCGGCCTCAGCCCCCCGTGGCAGCTGGGGAAACTGAGGCAGAGCATGGGCTGGGTGAGAATCTGCCAGTTTGGTGTCCCCAGAAGGCCTGTGCCCCGCCCAGGGAGGGCAGCCTGCCAGCAGGCCCAGGCACGGGGCTGGCAGCCGCCTCTGTCCCGCCAGGCTCCCACGTGCGGCAGCTTTGCTGCCGTGTTTTGGCACGGAGAGAGGCAAAGGGAAAAAAATGAACATCCCTGCTGGCAGCCAAGGCAGCCCGAGGAGGAGGCTCTTGGATGATGTTCACAGACACATGTGTGTCGTGTTCCAGTTTCTTCCCGTGACCTCCCGGAGCCACGGAGGCAGCGAAGGGCTCGGCAGCCCCAGGGTCTCTGCTGCACCAGCAGCTCCCGGGCACAGACCCCACAGCTCTGGGTGCTGCCCATCAGGGCTCCCCAAAATGGTTTCAGGGAGAGCCCTGGAGAGATGCAGCCACCTCCAGCCCCAGGGGCCCCTCACCTTTCGGCATCCATGGTCATCCTCCTCCTTCTCCTGGCTCACCCGACCCGGCTTTTTGCAGATGGACGGCAGGGTCTGGTTGCAGGGGCTGTCGTTCCACCTCCCTTCCTGCACGGTGGGAGAGGAGCAGGAATCAGCCTATCCCGACAGCCTGGGGAATTCCCCAGCCCACTCACCCCCACCTCGGGTCCACAGACTTTCCTTCCCTACACCAAATCCCTAAGGATGATGTGCTGGATCCCTCCCATCCCAACAGCTGGGATGAGCCAGGTTCAACCCAGCTGGAGGTGCTCCCTGAGGAATGCCTTCCTCAGGCATGAGGATAGTGCAGTGCTCCCTTTCCCCCTTGGGACCTTCCTATTTCCCCTCTGGGACCCCAAAACCCTCCTGAATTCCTCTGAATCCCCCCTGTCACACCCCCTGGGCCCCCCTGCCCCCCGGGCTCTCACTGGTCCCCAGATGGTGACACAGTCCTCCAGGCTGTCACGGAAGTTGTTGGGCTCGAAGGGGTGCCAGTACGTGAACCTCACAGGCGTCCCGTCCGACCACTCGAAGTTCATCTGCAGCTTGAGGTCATTTAGGCCAATCCAGAGCTCCTCCACATCTGCCAGGACAGGAGGGGAGGGCGTGAAAGTTCCTCCTCCTGGCTGACATTGTGCAGAACCCACCAGTGACACGAGCCCTGCAGGGCTCAGCTCTGACCCCGGGCAGGAAAGGGCACAGCAGGGCAGCTCCTGCCTGCAAGGGTGGACCCCCAGAGTGGGAAACACAAGGACATGGACCCCCAGAGTGGGAAACACGGGGACATTTGCCAGCAGCTTTCAGAGAGCAGCTGGCAGCAGCAGAATGTGAAAGTCCAGACCTGCAGGCTCAAGTCCAGTGAGCTACTGGTTTTCAACCATTCCCTTCCATCCCGTCCCAATCTGCTCCCAGCTTGGAGGCTCCAGCATTTCCCCTCCTTGCTCCACCCTCCTATGGCTCATTGCTGGTCTCCTCCAGCAAGTCCAGCAGGACTTTGTTTCCCCATCTTTTCCTACACTAACCAGCTGGGACCAGCACCATTCCCAGCTGCAGCTGTGTAGTTTTTCCTCAGCACTGCAGGCTCCTGGGAACAGCTTTCACATTTGCTGGATGGGGGATGCACCCGGATTACGGGCTCCTCCAAGGAATACATCACCTCCCAGCCTGGGGCCTCCACTCCCTGCACAGCCACAAAGTCAACTCTGCAGCCTCCAGCACACCCAGGGACATTCCCACGGACCCCACAACCGGATGGGAAGGGGGCTGCTGGCACAGCGGGCTCCTCCTCACCTTGCTTGATCTGCTTGGTGACGAATTCCAGCTCGGAGAGGGTGTGGATGCTGACCAGGTCCCCCCCACTCCTCAGGCAGGTCTTCTTTGCCTCCTGCCAGCTCTTCTTCTCTCCCACCAGCCGGTAGCAGTTGGACTGGAAGGGCTGCCAGCTGGGCTCGCAGTCCACCTTCACCTCCGACCACGAGTCTGGCAGGACACAAGGCAGCCTGAGGGCTCCTGCCAACCCTCCAGCCCCGTCCTTGGCAGGGAAGGGGCCGCAGTCCCACAGGGTGCTCAGCACAAGCCAAAGCCACGGTGGGAAAGCCACGGCCAAAATGTAACAGGCGGTGGCAAGGTGAGGGAACGGCAGCTCCAGAGCTCCGGGGACAAACCAAATCCCTCCTGTCTGCAGAGGAGCGAGGGTAGAGCAGAGCACAGAGCACCCCCTCCCCTGGGGACCCACTGCTCTGTGTCCCTCCCTCACCACCCAACCCGGAATGGCACCGAGCACTTCTCGGAGATGACTTCTCCCAAACCTTGGGAACCCTGAGGAGCACAACCCCTGCTCCGCACACCCGGGGCAGGCCGGGGACACCACGGGCACCTCCGTGGGCAGCATCCCCTGGCCGTGGCGGGGTGGGAGCACACCCAGTGTGCCCATTCCCCGTGCTGCTCCTGCCCTGCTCACCCGTCAGGAAGGGGTCGGCCGTGGCGTTGGGCTTCTTCTTGCACACGTAGGGGAGGGCGATGCCGCAGTCGCGGTTCTGCCACCCCCCCGAGGACTCGGTGCGGATCACCCCGCAGTTCTCCTCGCTGGGGTTGTCAGGCTGGTCTGGAGAGCAGGGTGAGGGGGGACAGGCTGCTGAGGAGCCACCAACAGAGCTCTCCCCGCTCCAGCACCAGTAAAACCCCATTTATTTCATTATTTTCTATGATAAGATGTGATCCCGCGTGCCCAGGTGGCAGTTGGGGGTCACGATACCAGACCTGAACTGCTCTTGCCTGTCCCCAAACCTGCAAGGGCATCACTGTCCCCACGGGTGTTTCTGAGTCCTTCTGCTCCCTGAGCACCTCAGGTTTAGGGAGGGGTGTCTGCAGCTGGGGACCCCACTCCAGCACTAAGCAGGGATGCAACACTCCAAACAAGGAGGGACCACCGAGGGTTTGCACATGTTCCCCCTCAGCACCCTGTGTCACCCCTCCAGCTCCACAGATGTCCCAGCTTGCTCCAGTGCCCCCTGGGCCTCTCTGTCCTCAGGCAGTGAGGGGACACCCTGCAGCAGCCCAGGCCACCTCCCCTGCCACGTGGCCATCTCTGGTGGTCACAGGTTGTTCCCCAGCCCCCCGTCACCACCACGACCCCCTATCTCACCACTCTCCCAGTTGAGGTACTTGAGGGGCGAGTTGTCTGACCACTGCCAGCCTCCATTGATGTCCAGGTCGTTGAGCCCAATCCAGAGTGTGGAGCTGTACCCAGTCAGGAGCCCTGAGCCAACACAGCCAGAGGGGCAGGATCAGTCCCCCCAACCCCAGCTCAGTCCCCAGCCTGTCACCCCCTCAAAACCAACCACCCGGGGCAGGCAGAGCAACCTGGCAGTGGCAATGCCCATGGTGCCACCAGCTCTGCCCAGGCAAGGAGGGCACAGCCAGGCTGCCACGGCCTCACCGTTGATGTAGGTCTGCTCGTGGATCTCGGTGATGCTCAGCAGGTTGGCCCCTTAGCTGACTCACACTATTCCAGGCCCCCCGCCACGACCAGCGTCGACTGGAAGTTGAACTGGTAGCAGCTGTTGGTGAGATGGTCCTTGTCCCAAAAGGTCTCGCAGTCGTTGCCTGTGGGGACGAGCAGGGTGAGCACGAGCAGGGTGAGCACCCAACACCCCCAAAATACCCCAATAACCCCGTGAACCCCACAACCTGCTGCTCCAGCACTGCAGGCTGCTGGCAGGAGGAGGGACGAGGCAGGACGTCAAGAGAGAGGAAGAAAAACCCCCAGGAGGGATGGGCACGGAGTTCCTGCTTTTCCCCATGGAATGTCTCCCCCCTACTCACTCTTTATGGGGCAGAAGCCCCAGCGCTCATCCTTGCCATAGTCCTGGGTGGTGGCACACCAGAGGTGCCCGTCCTCCCTCCCCGTGCTGGTGCACTCATGGAACCACTGGTTGTCGTACTTGAAGGGGATGGTGCAGGGCTTCCCGTGGGAGTTGCCCTGGATGGTGTAAATCTCTGGGGGGAGAAGAGGAGCTCTTGCTTGAGGCCGTGTCTACAGGGCTGGAGGGAGGTTTGGGGTGAGGGGTGGTGTGGGAGGTGGTGTGGGGGGCAAGGGTTACCCAGAGGCTGCCCCGCTCCCCACCATCCCGCCCCAACCCTGCCTGGGTTTCTGCAGCCCCAGGGAGCCGGGACCGAGCTGGACCCGCCCGCCGCAGCACCGCGGCCTCCGCTCATGTCTGGGGTTGGGTTACGGCACAACACGGCGCCCGAGGGGGCATTACCAGAGTAGGGCACGGAGCACAGGTCCTCCTCGGTGCCATAGGTCCTCCACTGCGAGCCCCGTGCCTGGTCCCCCCTGTCCAGGGAGGCGTTGGCGGGGCGGGGGCGAGAGGTGCTGCGAGAGCACTGCTCGCCGAAGCCCCGCGGCAGCTCCCAGTCGCATGTAACCGACTCGCGTCGCACTCGTGGTGGCCAGGGGTGCAGCCCCGCCGTGCTGTTCCCCCCGTGCCACGACACCCCCAGGCACTGCATGGCCCCCACGTTGAAGAGGCGGTTTCGGGAGACCCATTTCCACTGCTGGGCCGGGGCGCTGCCGTTGCAGCCCTTGGCCAGTCGCACCAGCGAGTCCTTGGTCTCCAGGCAGCCCTGGGAGCCCGTGTTGTAGATGAGGAAGACCTTGGAGTCTGGGGAAGAAACAAATGGGAAGGGGATGAAGCATCACTGGGGACTCAGCACGTGCCACGCATCCCCTCCAGCCCCGACAGGACATCCTGGCTCCAGGCACAGCAAGGTTTGGGTGCATCCCTGGGACCTGCTTCCTGCAGCACTGGCACAGAGTTTGTCCTGATGCCTGGGAGGGACTCCAAGCAGGGTGACACGGGTGGGTGTCTGCACCCAGGGTGGCATCACCAGGTGTGGCTATTGGGCCTCGGAGCCGGAGCGGAGAACTCACCCGCGCTCACCACGTCACTGGAGTGGTTCAAAACTGAGCTGCCATGGGCAGCACTTGGCCACAGCATTCCCAGGCATTGCAACGAGCCTGTGCCAGTGCTGGAGGAGCCAAGGGCTTCAGCACCAGCCATCTGCTCCAGGCTGAGGAGAACAGAGCAGGGACACGGGGAGCGCATCCATCAGTGCCGGGGGTGTCTGGGGACCTGCTGAAAGCTGCAGAGCAGACAGCAATGCTGGGAGAAGGTCTCCCTTGCTGTGATGGAAAAGGCCTGTACAGCCCCAGCCCATACAGAATGTGGTGTCAGGACCCTCTGGAATCCCAGCCCAGGCGTTGGGAGGCGGGAGCTGAGCGAGGGGAATCAGATAAAACACAGCCACGGAGGGGAGACAGGCTGAGCTCAAGCCCAGCTCCACACACATCCCAGGGCCCTGCCACGGGCCAACCCTGCATCCCCACGGCAATTCCCTGATCCCAGCATCACCTTGGTCCCACCCCACCACGAGGCCCCATCCCAAAACCTGTATAAACCAGTAAATCCTGGACATCACACTGGGACTCGCTGCTCCAGCTGACCTGCCATTTTTAAGGGATACTTTATTTATTCCAGTGAATGTTTCTAAGGTAAAAAGCTGCCCCAGGGCTCCTCACCACCTCGACCTCCCCCAGTGCCCCAGCAAGAAGCTGCCCAAAGCACCACATCAACACCACCACTTCTGTTGTTCTTTTTTTTGTCTTAAAACGACCCATTTTTTTCCACCACAAGCGTTCACCAGAAGTCCAAGAGAGCTCACGGGCCCCGCTATATTTAGCTCTGGTTTGCTTTGGTTTTTTGCCATTGTAGGAATTTTTTGGGCTGAAAAGGTTTTCATTTCCTACTTCCCACCCCCAGCCTCACCCTGCCCCAGCTCTGTTGTTACAGGAGGCTCCTGCACATTCGAGCGACAAACATCTCAGCTCAGAGAACTTCCTTGCCTTGTCTGAAAGGGAAAAATAAATGGAGGAAAACAGACACCCCCATTGCAGTTGGGAGCTCCAGCATCCACCTGGCTCCAGGACAGAAATGATGTCAAAGGATCCTTTCCCAGCCCACATGATATTGGTGATGATGTCAAATAAACAAACAATGAAGCCCCTTTGCAGGGCTTCATTTAATTCAAGGGAAACATTTAATTTCACTGAAAATATTTTTCGAACCAGGACAAGTGGGAAAACAAGCAAAAATGCAGGCAGGGCTGGTTCTGGCTGGCAGAAGCTCAGGTCCCTTAAACTGGTGCTGGTGTTTTCCCAGCTGGAACTGGCCTGATCCTGACTTGGACAGCAGGAGAGCAGCTCATCCCCCCCCCCAGCACCATCCATGGCATTCCCAGCCCAGCTCTCTCCCCTTCCCACCTGCAGCAAGGGGGGTGCAGCTCCCCCCAGCACTGGGGACATGGTGGGGGGGGTCTTTAAGCAGTTTTGGGTGATGCAGCATCACTGCCATGACCCACTGCACCCAAGTAGCAGCACTGGGGCAGGATGAGGCCTCCCTGGGGCACAGGTTGATGCCACAGAGCTCTGCAAGGAGCCAAACAGCAGCACTATGAACATCACCACGGTCAGGGTCAGCTATGGGACACCCTCCTCTGTTATCTGTGAGCCTGGCTTTGCAAGAAAAATTAACATCAGCTTGGAAAAGCCCTGGAGCCAACCCAGGAATGGTGCTGGGGTGCCCAGTGCCATGTCAGGGCTGGCAGCACCGTGCAAGGGCAAGGGCCATGCTCACACTGCTCAGAGGAAGCTGTCCAGACTGGAGGGGGCAGGCCCAGGGCCAGAAAGGCACAAAATATCATTTTACTCTAAAAAGAGAAGAGCTGGAGGTAGGAAATTACAGGGTGAGGGTTCTGGGCTGCCCCCGCCCCTGCAGGCAGCTCAACACAGCTCAGCACAGCACAACACGAGGCCCCCCCAGCTAAAAGAAGGCAGCAGAGGCCACCCAGCGTGTCCCCAACCTCCCCTGGGCCACAGAGGAATGGGAAAGATCCACCCCCTCAGCACTTCCAGCTTCTCCCCCTGCAAAACCACCGTGCACTGCCAGGGGGGAGCTGGGGGGTGACCAGCACGAGCTCAGCACCGGGCAGCAAAGCTGGGCTGCACCCAAAACACACTTCCCTTTTCCTTACTCATAGGGAATTTGGGGCTGAGTGACCCCCACCGTTGTCCACGACATTGGCAGGGGGGTTTGGGCAGGTCCCTGATGCACTGAGAGGAGTGTTCAGCCTCCCTGACCCCCGGGATGGATGTGGAGTTGGGGGGGATGGGATGAGTTTATAACTGTAATTATGCTCTCTAATTTTTCATAGCCAGCAATCACTGCCAGCAATTTTTAAACAGATGGACATATGGCTGAAAAAAAAATAATAATGCCATACAACATGGCCATAAATTGTCCATTTCTTGCTGTACAAATAATAGAAGCAAGTTTGGCAGGCTTTTTTTGTTGTTGTTTTTTTTTATATACATCTCCCTTCTATGTATAACTAAAAAATGTGCTAAAATTAATATAAAGTGCTTTTACTATAAAGTAAATCCCTTTATGAATCCCTTTGTCCAACCTGGTATCCCTCAGAGCAAACCCAACCCTTGCAGGAGGCAGCTCCAGAGGAGCATCCCAAAGGGGCTGGGAATGTCCCCATCCCTTCTAGGGCCTGCCCTCCACAGCCATGGTACAGCTCCTCAGGTTTTGGCACCCACCAGCAGACCTGAAATCCCACAGGCAGAGCTTCCCAACCACCCTCCAGTCACAGAAACCCACCCACAGCAACCCCAGATCCTTCCCAAATAGGAGCTGCCCTCTGGAATGGGGCAAAGAGCACTGGAAAATGCAATCCTGCTGGATGCTCTGCCTGGAATCACCCCCAGGGCTGGGGTGGGCACCCTGTGCATCCTGTGCCTCTCCCTCCTATATCCTTCATCTTTCCAGCAGGGCCTGCTCAGAGCAGCTCTGCTCCATCACATCCTGCTCCTCCTCCTCCTTTTCCTCCTCTGGGGAGGAACAATGTAAACAAAGGGAAAACCCACATGCTTCCAGCAAGGACAGGGTCTTGTCCCAGCCATGCAGCCACTGGGATGCTGCTTCTGGCTTACTGGTGGGACCATGGAAACCAGTCAGTGCTACAAGGCAGAGTGATGGTGGGGACAGGGGGGAGCTGAGGTAAGAGCTGGACACCAGCTCTGCCTGCAGGAACACTCTCCATGTGGGAAATCAGCAGGAGAAACTGGCCTTGGCACTGCTGGCTGAAGGCTGCAGGGCTGAAGGAGCTGCCACCCTTTGGGGCAGCCCTCAAGGCAGCTTTTACCCCCCACACCTGGCTGCGGGTTCTTTTTCCTTAATCAAAAAAAAGCAAGTTCTCAGCCAGCAGGAAGCCTGAACTGAGGGAACTCAGCTCAACCCTCCCCACAACAGTCCCCAGCAAATAAGGAAAGCTTCACAACCTGCAATTTTGGGGAATGTGGGCAGCACCAGATGAGAGAGGCCATGGGGCTGGGGAGGCTCCAGGGGGCAGAGGTGGTGGTAAACACAGAAAGCCCTGCAGCACAACAGGGATGGGCACCCTCAGCACCAGCACCTCCCAGCCTGGCCACCCACACCAGGACACCCAGGGCATCTGTCACCCTCCCATCACCAGCAACAAATGCAGGCAGCAAATTTAAGAGAGGACTGGCCCCCAGTCCTGGTTATCCCAGGCTGGAGCAGCTCCAGGGCTCTGGCTCGTGGCAGCCCAAGGGGAATGCTGGTTCCAGCACAGCAGTGCTGTGAGGCTCTGTGCCCACACCCCTGCCAGCTCCTGGGCTCCCAAGTGCTGGCAGAGCCCCTTGAGCAGCTCTGGGGCTCAGCCCCCTCCTGCACCCACCCCAGAGAAGGTGTTCCCTGCCCTTGTTCCACTCAGGGCTCCCCTTTATTTGGGGAGCTCGTGGCACTTGTGCAGGAGGCTGAGCACACACAGAGAGCCAGGGGGGTGATCCCCTCCTCGGGGCTGATCCCCTCCTTGGAGGTCCCTGTGCTGCAGACACCCCATGGATGTGGTTTGCTCCAAACCACCCAGCACAGGCAGCAAAGCCTCAAAGCCCACGTGGTGCCCCAGCTCCATCAGGGCTCCAAGACCCAGGAGCTCCCTCCTCCAGGAGCTCCCTCAGGGCCTGCAGACCCCTGAGCTAACAAACACCTCCACAAAGACTTGGGAGCCCAGGCAAAAGTTGTACCCATCAGGTCCCTTCACTCACATGGTGCAGAAACAAAGCCCTGTTCAGCCCAAACCTCCTCATGCCACGTGCTCTCACCCACCAGAAAACAGGGCACCTCAGCCCCACTGAGGTGGGGCAGGTT